GGGTGAGGTGGAGGGACACCGGTTCCCTCACTGCCCCGTGTCTCTCCAAGGCTGGCGGGCGGTTCCTTAGGCTCGGGCCCTGAGTACCTGGTGTGTGTCCGAGCCATGCCGAGAGCTCCACAGTGCCACACGAGGCGGAGCGTCCACTAGACTGCACGACGGCCTTTTCTCATGCTCCCCCTCTTTCTGTTGCTGGTCTGACTGCTCTACATGCGGGGTGCGCGGAACCCGGGCAGAGCCAGGCTCTCCCCAGCCCTTTTCCCGGTCGCCTTTATTTTACGTATTTACTCCGTTTACCATCGACTCCCCGGACCGGAGCGGGCGGCCTGTGCGTCCGAGTCGCCCGCGCCTGACAGGGGGCTGGTGGCCGGCGGGCTGTGAGCTCTCATTCCCGTCTCAAAATAGTGCTCGGGGCCTTTCCGACATCAGGTCAGAAAAGCTCAGACTCCAAGCGAACTCAAATTCTGTTCGCCCACATCGCGAACGAACCTTTATCTCCTCCTCCTCATCTACTTGCTCCTGATTTATCAAATTCGTGGGGAGAGGAAGACATTTCTTTTCCCTAGGAAGGAATATGAGAACAGTGTCCTCTCCGCCCCGGGCCTCCCAGGGCGGAGGGCCTGGTCCCCCGAAGCCCCTCTCCTCCCCGGCCTCGTCCAAACCGCCGGCCGGTGCCCACGCCCTGCAACAGGTCTCAGCTCTAAACGCCCTCCGGCCCCACGTCCACGCAGAGGGCGGGAACCCTCCGTGGTCCCAGAGCCCTGTCTGGTTCAGCGAGATGACGGGTCCCTGTGCCCTGGCCCGTGCTGCGTCCTCTCTCAGCTCTCCCGGGGTCTACAGAGCTCATGCGAAGCCCCTCTCCATCCCCTCCCTGCTCACAGACCTTCCTTGACTCCGGGTAAAAGACAGAACTCCCGGCACCTCACAGCAACGTGACGTTCGGCAGTGTCCTCCTCGGCCATCTGCACAGCAGCGGCTGCTGTGAGTTTCCCCTTCCCGTTTGAAAGCAAATGCCCCCCGCACCGCGGCGGCCCCTACCTTCCAGGTCTCTGGTCCACACCTCAGCCTGGCCCACTCCGCCTCCCTCCCCTCTTGAACCCGCTCCTCCCGGAGGCTCCTCCCCTGCGCCCGGCAGATGTGCCGCACGCGCCGGCTTTCGAGTCGCCGAGGGCTCTCGACGTCCGTGTTCACCTCTGTGATCCCCGGCGGGCAGGGCGACGGTTCACGGCGTCACCCGGCAACGCTGTCCTTTCTCTGTACCGTTCTTGAACCTCCCTGCCGCCCTTCGGCCACGAAGACTAGCGAAACGTGTGCCCAGCGCCCCAGAGCAGGGACGACAGGCGAGACCCGGGAGAGAAGCAGGTGCTGCTCAGCCTGAGGCTGCGGCCGGAATGCTGACCGTCCACAGCATCCCACAGGCTTGAAAGTGAAGCTTTCGAAGAGAGGAAACGGGTTTCTCGGGACTCCCAGAGCTGGGTTTCTCCTTATCAAGAAGGAAGCCTGAAGAGAGGCCCGAGCAGCGGAGCGCAGAGCAGGGGGTGCAGGGTGGAAGGTTGGGGCACATCTCGGTGACGAGGAGGGGGAGAGAACTCGCAGACGCGGGCGGTGCTGGGGCAGTCGGGGGAGGACGAGGGCGGGGAGATACCGCGCCGGGCTTGGATGAGGTGACAGAGGCCCAAGCGGGGCGCAAAAGAAAACAGAACACAGAGAGTTCATTGAGAAGATGGGCCCCCAGATCGACATGCAGCGGCAGGTAGAATTTCCAGTCCCTCGTGAGGCGTACAGGAGAACCAGTTAGCCCCAAGGGCTCTGGTGGGGCTCACTGGGCCAGGGGACTTCGAGAGACCAGGGGCTACACGGAGAAGTAGCAGCCTGTGCGGTTCCCAGGATAAGAGGCCAGGAAAGGGGTCACGACGCCCCTGCAGCGGATGCCGGGTGAAGCTGAAAGCCGTCTGCACCCGGAGTCCCCAGCAGGGCTCCCTGTCCCCACCCCCACCCCCACCCGCACCACAACTGGGAGAGACACCCAGGGCAAAGGGAGGACAAAGGGGAGGATAAAAACCATGGAAGTTTATTTTCCTAAAGCCGATCAGGAAAAAAAAGTCCATCCAATTAGGATGCGTATCCTTGAGTGAAATGTGTTTTCTGCCTCAAAATTTACTGTGCAAATATTAACATCTCTCCCACCACCCCCGTCCTCCTCCCCCACACTCGGGGCCGCTTGGACACCACCTCTACGCACCAGCGGAAACGCAGATCTAAACCTGGAGCCCCCACCCCCACCCTCAGAACTCCCCGGAGGCTCCTGGCCCCCGCCTGGCTCTCCCGGCTCCTCTCTAGCACCAGCCGCCCCGGGGCCCCCGAGGTTCACCGAAAACCCAGTGGGAGGTGCCAGGGGCGGAGCAGAGCTGCCCGGCTGGTGTCGCACTGACACGTGGCACTCACGCCTCTGTCCCAAGGTGGGTGAGGAGGGGTCGGCAGAGCTGCCTTCTTTGGATCAGCTCCTCGTAGTGCGGTGGGAAGACGAGGCCCCTGACACCTCCCAGGGCCCCTGCCGAGGGTCCCCAGGTGACCCGAGGCTCCCCGACGCTCCCTGCCCTGGCCTCTGACGGCATCGCTACCTTGGCCGATGATCTGCTTCGCCGCCACGGCGGAGGAGAGGTGAATGGGCTCCATGAAGATGCTTTCCGTTTCCGCCTCTGAGACCACGGAGTACCTGCGGGACCAGGGGACCAGGTGAGGGGACTCTGGGCAGCATCCGCGTGGGAGGGGTCCCTTCTGCACAAGCAGCCTGGGTCTGATTCCAGCCACCGAGGGACACGACAAGGGGGGACGGGGGCCTGGGACCGCGGGGTGCCTGCGGCTCTGCGGCCGCCTGTTTCCACACCGGAGTTGGAGCCCACCGAGCTGACGCCTGATGAAATGAATGGGGGTCTGGGCGGTGGAGGGGAGGGGGTCTGGGCGGCGGAGGGGAGGGGGCCGCCTGCGGCCGGGAGGAACTCGCCCTCACGCAGACACTGTCCCTCCTGCGTCCCCGCCCTTGCACGGCCTGCTGCTCGTTTCTGTTGTCTTGCCCCCTGTTCCTCTGGTATTGGTACTAGGGCCTCTGCCAGGGTTTCGTGGGGCTGGCGGGCCGAGCGGCCACCGCCAGGCCCTCCGTGCCCGTATCGTCGTTCTGCTCGGAAGGGAGTGGGCTGCGGATGGAGGGAGGGAGGCCCAGCGCGGGGGACAGCGTGCGGGCGTGTGCGAGCGCACCGCCCTGATTCTGACCGCGCACAAGCGTCTGCCCGAGGCCAGGGATGCAAAAGCGACCGAGGTCAATTTCAGGGCGATTTCCCAGAAAGAGATCAGCAGGGGTGACCGGGGGCCCTTGGAGGGACATGGCCAGCCCAGGGCAGGAACAGGGGTGGGCCCACACTGCAGCGGTCAGTGCCCCCCGGGGGGTTCCCCCTTTTCCAGCGTTGAGTAAGACTTGGGTCTCCTTCCGCTTAGTCTTTCCTGGAGGTCCGGCGAGGTTGAGAGAGAGGCTTTAATGCATACGGTTTTTTTCCATCACAAAAATTCCCTTATGCTGCCCCTTTATAATGAACCCCTCCCTGCACCTCGTCCCCAGCCCTCACTGATCTGCTTTCTGTCCCCACGTGTGGCCTTTTCCAGAATGTGGTGTCAGTGGAACCTTTTGGATCTGGCTGATTTCACGTAGCAAAATGCCTCTGAGAGCCGTCCATGCTACTGCATGAATCAATGACCTGTTTCTTTTTCTGGCTGAATAATATTCCGTTTCTTCGCCGCCTCAGGCTCCTGCCGCCATCCCCGTCCGCCGCCCTGAGGCGCGGCTGCGTATCCCAGGGAGGAAAATGGCCCCCGCGCCGGCGGTCTGGTGGCGCTGTGGATTCCGGCCTTCGTCCTCGGCCTGCCTGGCGCCGCGCCCCATCCGGGCTCCTCAAGCAGCTGCCGCCTCGTCCTGTGCAGGGGTCATGAGGGCGATGCACGGGACAGGCCAGGGGCAGGGGGCGTCCGCCCTCTCACCCAGAACTGGAACCTCTGTCCATTGTCCTGTTGCTTCTAAACGTCTGGAGGTGATGTGTTTCCTGACCCTCGTCACTGAGCTACGTTATCGTTATGGAAACCCACAGGATCTTGTCTGGTTCCCAGTTTTTAAAAATCCCCCGCTGGGGTGCCTTGGTCTACGGCCAGCCAGTGCGTTGGGCAGTGCAGACTAGAATGCTGGGGGTGGACGCGAGCTCCGTAAAGGTACGGAAGGCTGGTCTCATCTCCTTCTGGATCTCCAGCATGTGGAAGGTGCCCGGGCAGGCTTGACGCCTAAGTAGGTGTTTGGTGGGTGGACGGATGGGTGGCTGGATGCAGGGAAGGAATATGCTAGGCAGGAGGCCAGGTGTCCACACACCGCCTTGGGGTCCAGGGCCCTGCAGTCTCCGGCCCCCTCTCCTGCCCGGCCTCAGCTCGCACCGGCTTCCCTCTGCCTCGCTCCTTGACGGGACCTGGTCGTCTGGCTTTGCATCCTCATCATGTTTCCCTCTGCCGGGGACTTTGCAGGAGGCCATTTCCGCTGCCCGGATGCCCGGTCCTCCCCTCGTCCCCCGCCTTTCAGCTCTTAGGCCAATCATCACGTCTGCAGGCAAGTCTTCCCTGATCTCCACCTCCTGCCGCTCCGTCCACCGTCCCTGTGGCACCCCCGCTGGGCAGTCGTCTGAGAGATGCCCGCTCCCTCACCAGACCCCTCTGAGGCAGGACCGCGGCTGGGCATTGTGATGACTGCGCGGCCAGTTGGCCATTTCCTCTTACGGCGGATTAAAGGGTCTGCTGAGTGGTAGGGGCCACGGCCGACCGCTGGGTTCCCAGCACCTGCACAATGTCTGGCACAGAGTAACAGCTTGAGAGGTATTTCGCGACTCACTGGCTGACTTTATCCTAAAGAGTATAACATGCAAGGGGACGTGGCAGCTGCGACAATTAGTGACGAGCGTTTGTCAAGTATTAGCCCCTTGCGCATCGTGCTCCTGGGGGGCCAGGAGCAAACCCAGGGGCCTGGCTCTGCTGTGCGCCTGCTCACTCTGCCCTGCTGAGGCCAAGACGTACAGCATCCTGGAGGCCTGCGCCATTTCCTCTTACGGTGGATTAAAGGGTCTGCTGAGTGGTAGGGGCCACGGCCACCGCCCTTGGATCTGTGCTGTCTCCGTGGTGAAGACAGACATACAGCCAAAGAGCCAGCGAGTCTGAGGGATTCCATGAGAAGACTCAGCCCGGACGCTTCTGAGGAGCCCCCTCGCCAGCCCCCAGCTGCAGATGCAGAACGTGAGGCCAAGAAACAAAGCCCGAGGTCGCCCAGTGTCGCCTGCAGGCTGTAGGTCAGCGTTTTTGTGAGCCAGCTGCCAGGAGAGGAGGAGATGGGAGCCCGTGGGGTGAGGACACGGCCGGCAAGTCTATAAAGGAGGCACAGGGCAGGCCCCGAAAGGACCAACGTCCAGGGGCCAAGGAGCCCTTCTGCAGGAAGAAAGCGGGCAGGAGGGGAGACTCAAACGCTGGCCGTGCTTCTACGACAAGGTCAGCGAGATCGCCGCCCCACACGGTCTGATTTATGACCGCGCCTGTGCCGCCACCTGCACCCACGCGGTGGAGCCAACTCACGCCCTGGTTAGAGTCAGCAAGGCCTGGCCGTCCAGAAAGGCAGGCCGGGAAAGGGGCTCTGGGATCGATACACCTCACCGCCGGGTCAGGAGGAAGCAGCTAAGACGCCTCGAGGGTGAATTGAAAGAGAAACGTAAAGCGGAGTTCGACAGACTTGCTGAGCGGAGCGAAGGCTGCTGTGGCTTCTTTCAGCCTATGCTTTTCAAAATCGCAGACTGTGCCCCATAATCACAGACTGTGACCCATTAGCGCATCATAAAAGCACTTCAGTGGGCCCTGCCCAGCAGCTGGACAGAAGCAAAGAAAGGAGACATGGAATAGCGTCACCCATTGTCAGGATAATTTTGTGAAACCTTGTTAAAAATTTCTGCGTACCTCATCATGTGCTCCGAGTTGAGGAGACCCAAGTGACATGTCTGTCCCACAGTGGGCAAGGCTGGAAAGCCACCGCCGTGACCGGACAGGCTGTCAAGACACCCATGAAGCGGAACTGGAGTCCTTCAACCCAGACCCCCCGACTGCTGACCACTTCCTGTCCAGGAGTCCCTCGGAAATAGGACGGGGTGTCTTTCTTGGTTTGGCTTTTGCAGAAGAGGAACAGGTTTCTGAGCTCCCTCTGCATGGTCGTTCACTTCAGAGAAAGCGACCACACGGGCGAACTTCGGGCTTCGAGGAAGGAGAGAAGTCGGTGAACGAAAACAAATTGGTTTTTAGCCAGCTGCTTCCAGCAGGTTCCCTAAAAGGACAGGCGGAAAAATCTTCACGGGAAGAGAAATAGGGCAGAGAAAGGGTAGATGGGAGGCGCTCGTTCCCGAGGACACCTAGGCCTGCCACCCCACGGCCCCGGCTCCTGTCCAAGCTGTCACGCCGGCCACTCAGACCTCACTGCGGCAAAGGCGAGCAGGGCACAGTTAAACTCCTCTGAAGGTAAAGGAGGAGATGCCACCACAGGAAAGGCCTGACCGCATCACCAAGGAGTTCTGGGACACGCCAAAGGCCTGAAAAAGGCAGGGCTGAAAAGTCGGAGTAAGAAATAAACTTCAACTAGAAAAGACATAAAGGGCGACAGAAAATGGTGAGTGTCCGCGATCGTGGCAGTTGGCATTTCCCAGAGGCGGCCACAGTGCTGCCCGCCCTACGTGCTGTCTCTGCGCTGGGGCCCCCAATGCTGGGGCCCCCAACACGGCGGCGGAGTCGACCGGCCTCCGTTTGAACCTCCTGGTCCTTCTGTGGCTTCGGAGGCTACAGCTTGAAAATCGACGCACTTCTGTCTTGTTCTCCGAGGTTTTATCTCTTGGAATCGAGCCCTCGGTCGAGGGGAAGGCCACACTGGCCCACACATCTGAAAACACCACGCTAGGCGTCTGGCCCGCGGCCCCGCTGAGGTCCCCTCACGAAGCGTCACGAAGCATCACGTGAAGGTGTCTCTAGGGCACCGGTCCCAGCCTCAAAGCCGTCCCAGGCCTCAAGGCCTCCAGCTGAGAACCGACGTCTCGGAGCAAAGACAAGCCACGGCACGGGTTCCCCATGACACACATAATAAAACAGTCGTTTCACGCCCCCGCGTCTTGAAGTTACGAGCCATTGTAACCGGAACGCTGTAAATTTTCTACCCTTTGTACATCTTTATTTTTTAAGGTGTATCTCTTGTAAGCGATATGTGGCTTTTCAAAATTGAGTCTGACCATTTTTTGTCTTTTAACTGCAGTGTTGAGTCAATTTGTGTTTAACGTAATTACTTATCTATTTGGGTTTAAGTCTACCGTGTTCTTATTTATGATGTGTTGTTTTTTCGTATTATTTGCTCTCCTTTTTCTATACGCCTTTTTCTCTCCTTTCTTGGCTTCCGCCGGATTGACGATATTTCACGGTCGCATCGTCCCTTTGTTCGCGCGTTAGTGATGCCTTCTGTTGTGAAACTTTGAACAATTACACGGGAAATTACAACATGCATCTGAGACGTCCCGCTCAAACTTAAAGTTTCGGCAAAGCTCTCGAGATAACTGCCTTTGAGCTGAGAGAGAGAAGCACGTGGACAGAAGCAAAGCAATGAATCAGGATCGAAAGTCAGATCTAAGCAAGGACTTTCGGGCGTGGTTTCTGACTCACAGAGTCGTGTGGTCCGTGTAGATCAGACACCTATTACGTTTCTGAAGAGATCGTATTTTTAAAGTAACCGCGAGCCTTCTTTAAAACAGCCTTCGGAAACCCAAGCGTCCAGAAGTGGGACACCATCTGCAAAAGCTGTCCAGCCTTTGAGGACGACGCACTCCGCGACGTCACTTCAGAGGTGGCCATGGAGGACAACAGACCAGGGGAACACGCACGGAGGGCGGAGCGAGCGACGGGGGCAGCAGACGCGGGAACGCCACGCCGAGGGCCGAGTCGAGGTCAGGTCTGGGGATCTCCCCACTTCAGGGCAGACATGTCGCTCAACGACTCCTTAGCGACGAGGACTGGTGGCGGCCGGCTCTCCCGTCATCCCTTTATCAAATAAGCGCTCTTTCGCGGGCACCCCCGCCAGAACAGCAGGTGCCGCCGTCAGAACTGGGGAGAAGACGCCTCCCCGCCAGACGGCCCAGTGTTCGAAGCACACGTGGCGGCTGGGAAGGGGGTTTGGGGTTGTCTCCCTTGGGAGTCCGTAAATGTGTCCCATGAGTGGACGGTGAGGGCACACGGACGTTACCTGCTTGAAGGGGTGTGCGGTGCCTGAGACCACGCCACACCAGCGAAGCCGGCCGGCCGCTCGTTTTCCTGGGCTCACGCACCCCCTTTCCCATCCGCCCCACGGGAGATTGCGCTGACCGCTCACCGAGGGGATCCCAGTGGGAGCATAATGGCCACGTTCGGCCCGGCCCGGAACAACCTCCTGAGGGGCCCCCGTGTCCTGAGGGGCCCCCGTGTCCTGAGGGGTCCCCGTGTTCTCTTAATGCTGCTGAGCACAGCCTCTCAGAAGCTGTGCCTTAACACGGAGGGTCGGCAAGTAGAAGGAGCCTCGGCTCCCCATTCTGGAATTCATTCGCGTGGGAAGGAAGTGTCCGTTGGCTACGGCGGAGGGCGTGACCGTACCTGTTGCACAAACCATCGCCCACCCAGGCACGAAGCCCCCTCCGCCTCGTCTGGAGGGCACAGGGGCAGGGAGGGGTTCATTTCAAGTCTCAACTCGGATGGTTTTTCTAAGTGGGAAAGTAACACCGGACTTTAAAAGACAAGGCCCCAAGCTCCGTTTGGACAAAGCGTCTGGGCCCGTGGCTGACAAGCTCTCGCCCTTATTCCCACCTCACTCTAGTGGGGAACCCTTTCCAGCCCCCAAAAGCGGGAGCCGGCAAGCCCCCGGGAAAACTGAGAAAAAGCGAAGCAGATTCATTGGAACTTCGGGGTAAAGTTACCTCGAGACATTCCAGTTGAGTCTTCCCTTCCCTTTTTGTAGACGAGGGGACACAGGCTCAAGATTTAAAGTGTTCCGTCACATAAATTTGGCAACAGAGCTAAGATTAGAAGTCAGTCCCTCATTATCCTTTATGGCAGAAGAAAATGGGCAGGTGGACACACTGCTGCTTTCGCGGGCAACTAAGCATTTCTTTGATGCCCGTTCTGGCCCCGCCGCCTCTTCTCGCAGTCTGTGCTCTGCGGCCCCCAGACCCAGCCTCAGTCCTGGCGAATCGGGTGGCACCTCCGGGACCCCCGTCAGACGCCTGCCACCCCCCAGGCCCAGGCCCAGCATCACCTCCTCCAGGAAGCCTCCTGCGTGCCCCCAAGTCACTTTGTTCCTGTCCCTGGCCCACCATGCGCTAGACCCCAGGCACACCGACTCATTCTCACGCTCACTCTGCTGTCACTTCTGCCTCCTCCGGACAGTGTGACACATGAAAAGCACTCGATGACGTGTGTCGCATGAGGAAACGTAAGGCTCCCTGGGGTCCGCCTCGCGTCCTGCCCCCGCCCAGCCCGCCACACGGGACAGCGTGAGGCTCGGCGCACACTCACTGGCTGGGGGAGGGGCTGCGGAGGTACCGGGCCTGCACGGCCCTCACGTCCACTTCGTCCTCTTCGCTCGGGACCACCTGCTCCTCCTCGGGGTCCCCGCCGGTCGCCATGACAGCCCAGCAGCCTCTGTAAGTTTGGCATGAAAACGGCAGTTAAGGGATCTGGTGCTGGAGGCTTGGCGGGGGGCTGGGGTGTGTTGGCCGTGTCACCTCGTTGGAACCAGGAAAGGGAAGGTCACCACATGCTAATCCCCTACTAGGGGGAAGCCAAGTCAGGCTTGGCCCAGCCACTGTAACTAGGACCCCAAGACGCACACTCCGGCTTTGTAAAGACCCCACCTTGGAGTCACAAGAGTTAAGAAGTGACAGCTGTCTCTTCCCACAGATGCCAGCAAAAGCGCGGGGCGGGGAACCAGACGTTTGCCAGAACAAAAGCTAAAGCGGTTGAAGCACATGAATTCTCCAGACCAGAAAGGTGTTTCTGTTCTCGCGCGCACACGCCCTTCGCCTCTGCGGCGTGAGGGGCAGCTGGCTCTCTTCAGGGTTTCCAGCCAAGGCCACCGGAGTGACCACCTTTGGCCCAGACGCCACGCGTCTGTCCATTCAGGAACGCGAAGCCCTTGGGAGCTGGTCCCAGACATGGCAGGGCCCTGACTCTCGTCTCGGGACAGACAGACCTGCCACCCCTGGCTTTAAGTCCCAGCCCGCAGGACACAATGACGGGAGAAGCACACTCACCGCTTATCCGCCTGTATCTCCACGGCCAGGCGCAGTCGCCCAAGGACTGGGGACCGGATGAAATGGTCAGAGCCTTGACCAGAGACAGGGACCAACCTTCTCCTCTCCTCGGTGTGTCTTCTCTGAGGGGCAGGACAGCTGTTAACAGGAAACCTTAGCTGCCTTCTAAATTTAGCCTCTGGCCGAGCCTGCAGCTCTCTGGGAAGGCATGGAGGCTCAGGACTCTGGCGGAAGGCAGGGCCACTTAACTC